CCGCCTTAACTAAGGCGGCATCCCAGTTACTATATAAACACATGATATACCACCAAGGCACGATCATCCTTTACTTTAACAAGATAACACACCTGCCTCTGATACTAACTTAAGCATCGGAGTGTCTTCGCAGGTACCCCCCAATTTGGTGCAACGTGCCAACGTGAAGGACAAAAGCTCAAGATCTGTCCAACAGCAATACTTGGCCCAGGCCAGCAACGACGTAAGGTGATTCAACCGTGTATGATTGGACTCTATACTTATAGCCAATCCATATTGTATCTGGTGCGATCAGTAACTATAACAATTATTTGAACGACTGAAAAATAGTGTTTTGATACGTTATTTATAACATTCGCCAAATAAGCGACAATCTGTTGATGTTTAGTAAAAATTATGGCAACTTTTTTATTCTTCATATGAAAACAAAGTTAGTTATATTATCTAAAAAAATTATATTTTTACACTTACAAGTAATAAATTAAAGTTATATATACACATATACTTGCATGCATAAAAATAAAGAGGATTATTTTTCTTATATTGCATAAGCTAAAATAATCTTTCCACATACAAATTTTATGTGGAATCCACTTTAATTTTTTTTTTCTCTTTTTCTTATTTTCTCTTCTTTATCTTCTTTTTGCGAGTGTAGGAAAATTACTTTTATTTTATGCAATATAAGAAAAATAATTCCCAAAAAAAAAAAACAAGAATTATGTCAAAACGTTGTAAATTATTTTTAATTAACAAATATTGTTAATTACTTAGAAATACATTATTTTCTTAATTACGACGGTAGAAAACTCCACTAAATACCCAAAATTTCAGGATATCTTTGAGTGAAGGAAAAGAAAAAAATAAATAGAAAAAAGAATACAACTCAGATGGTTGTCTCATGTGACAACATGAGTCATATAAGTTAAGTTCATATATATTGTCACATTCTGAATAATCTTATGCAAAAAATAGTTGGGTTCAAATTCTGAATGACGAGCTAAATAATTGTCACATTATCACATCCCTCGACTCAAAACTAATTTCATATATATTATTTCATCAAAAAAAAAAATCATATATATATGCAAATCCATTTTTCCGCCCGAATTGTGAGGATACCATAAATCTTAACTCGTCTCCAAGGAAAAATTAAGTTCATATATGGAAAAAAAAAAAAAAAAGGAATGGCCACAACCAATTAAAGCCAAGCTAACACTACATGACAATATAGATTACCGACGATAATTATGCACCAAAACATCTGTTGCATTTATACATCAGCATTGATCAAACCCAACTGAAATTGCCAAATATTTTCTCCGTTGAATTATTGAAAGAGATATGTGGAAGTGGGAAAGCCGCATCTTTTGCTTTGCAGAGAATAAAAGGGCGTCCCACGACAAAGTTTATTGTATTAGTTTCGGGAAAAATTGGTTCATCACATATGAAAGGATAGAAAAGTTGGATATATTGTGTTACTACTTTGGGTGACCAGCCAGGACAAGGTGTTACTAAACCATAGATCTAGAAATGCCAATCCATGATAGGCATGTGTATTTTAGGTCATTGTCTGCTTCAGCTAACTAGCTACCTGTAGATGGAAACTATAATGATTTGTGTACGTGAAAACACCTATATTAAATACTTTTAGATAAATTACTTAAGGTGAAGATTTTTTACCGAAAGAAAAGAGATTAGAAGAGAGAAGAAGTTGACTACTACAATTGTAATCATTATAAGGATTATAGATGCTCCAATTGAAAAGCAACAAGCGAGTAAGGCATCATATCAATTAACGGGTAACCAAATGATAGTTCCCTAATTGGTCGCAGGGGAGCTAAGTAAGTAGAAAAGGAAGAGTTTTGGTTCGATCCTTACATGCTAATTTTTAGAAAATATTTAAATATCTCAATTCATAACCTGTCCCCTACTTTGAATTAGTCCTACAGCTGACTCAAAGAATTGAAGCTTATGGAGATACCGGAGGAAATTAACTCGCCTCAAAAAGATAATTAAGATTGAGTCAAAAAATATTAATTAACAGATACGAAAATAAACCTCAAACAATAGCAATATTAATTGACCAATGAACCCATTATTTATCTAGTATATCCTTAATCATATCACATGAAATTGTGCTTTGTTAATGTCGATAGAAAATAATAATGACTTTATTGAATTCGGGAAATGTAAATAAGGGTCAAGTTTCCAATCAAGTATGTGTCCAAGAACAAATGAACCGAAATATTGCTCAATATATATGAACAGTACAATGTACGTAAAAAAAATGAAAAGGACAGGCATTTTCTAAGGAAAACCAACATTAAAATACAATTACTACTTAATTAACCTGAGAGTTGGTGATCTAAGGCTTGACTTGCTCAATGAATAGTGACTTCAAATCTTGAGAGTCTCAATTTTTGAGAAAAATAAAAAGATATAAATCCAGAACTGAATTAGTTGGTTCATTAAAACTTCCGATACGACAAATAAAAGAACAATTACTCAAGGAAAGATGACAAAGGAGTTAATCTCTTTACCTTTTGGATATCAGCCTGCAAACACTTGGGCTTCTGGCAGGAGAATCACGACTAGCTAAAACTCTGATCTTAATGAGTAGTCACTTCCTAACTTTATATTTCAAAAAATAAGTTATTGCTTGGCAAGCCCATCTTATGTTGAAACATGTATTAAACCTTTGTTAATATGCAAGTTCTTCAACTTACCAAAGCATGAATTATAATTAATGTGCATATAAAATACTGTGTGTTTAATGGGCAAAGGGAACTAGAAACTAGTAGTTTTCGCAGAAATATCACTGCCTAATTGGTGGTAATAAGATACTGAGATATGCATTCTATATTCAAGACTAGCATGTTATTTGCATAAGAATCTCAATTTCACACCTCACATAAAGCCCCAAGACTTAGGTAATTTAGTTCCTTTCTTCTTTAATTCAGTATGGATTTAATTTATCATTAAAAAGAAGACAACTTATATAATTTGTGGGTGAATTTTTCAAATATTTCTGAAGTTTAGAACAGGAACAAGGATTGAAGGAACTTATAACTATATCCTTTGAAGAACAAGATTAAGATTTTCGGTGAGATTGACTTTGAGAAGACCAAGAACTAGTCCTAAATTGTGGCATGAGAGTACTTGATCTCTATATTGTTCATTTTCTTCCCATCATTTCTTTTGTTAGATGCGTTTATTGGAATTATTACTAGCGTTTCACGCTAAGTGCATAATAAAACTCGTACTTAAAAATCATGTTGTTGTCACAATTTATTATGAGCAAATATTAGTTATATATGATGTAGTCAATCTTTCTAATCTAATTTGGACCAGGCAATCAAGAAGAAGTATAGCATAAATATTATTGGATCATTATTAGAAGTGGAAATCTAAGCATACACAGCAAACTATTTCCAGTAAAAAAGATTATGTGATAATGCTGGTGAAAGATAGATAATTAAATATTTTTAGCATCTCAGTATAGACGGCAAACCATTTTTCACAACATACACACGACGCCAATAAGGAATAAGAAATAACATAATATCAAAATGGTGTTAGTTTGGTAGCTCAATAAGTGGAAAGAAAATGGCTCTGGTTTGATCCCCACATATATATTACTTTTGGAAAGAATTTAAATATCTCCATTCCTGACCCGTCACACATTTCGGATTAATCTCATAACTTGGAGTCGAAACTTGCGGAAATACCGAGGAGAGCCAACTCACTTCAAAAAAATAATTATGGTTGAATTAACTTCAAAAAGAACATAACTAAAACAAATTGCATGTATTGATTAAAATAAGGAGTTCTCTCTCTAATTTAATTTTAAATTTAAGATTGCATTCCTTAGGATTTGTTTTAATTTTAAACCTTTTTACTTGATACTATATATTTTTAGTTTGTACTTAAGACCGTGGATATATAAACATACGTTGAAGCAAGAAATTATAGAGTAATCTCCAAGAATCTTCCCTAACCAAGATCCGATGAATTTAGACAGAATAATAGTAATAATTAACGAAATGATTAGTAATATAAAAAGCTTTTATCATTAAGTTTTGATTTTTGTTTTTGTCCAAAGAGACCTAAAGAAGGCAAGGGGACAAGAAGAGGATTACATGGAAGATGATAGTGCCAATTTTTTAACTTGACATGTGTGGTCACACTCACTGCTGCAGTCATGCAAGACAACCAATCAATTTGTCCACAGAAACATGATTTTTATTAGAATAATAAAGCCCAAAACAAGTAGCCAATGAATTGCTCCAAAAGGTCTAAATAAATGTTAGAAGGAAGAAAACATAATATATGAGGTGGGAACAGAAGAGAAGGGACACCCCATATCATCTCTTTACTAACTAGAGTCTAGAACAATACATTTTAGGAAGGGATATTCAATAATTCAAACAAACCATTGAAAACCAGAAAAAAAGAAATAGAAAATAAGAAAGCTCTTCACAACCCGGGAAGAAGATTAAACATAATGTAAATAAATAATTGAGGGTTATGAGAAAGTGGGTGGGGCAAAGATCATTTGAAATTGTGAAGGGATCACAATAAATAGGCCGTGATATTAGATACGGATCAGTAAATACAAATAAGGAGTTGACAGGTGAAGGAGGATTTGAAAAGATTGACCTGCGTCTCCTCCATGCACCCTTTCGTTTCATAGCAAAAATATATTAAAAATAAAAATAAAATAAAATTGAAACTGATTAGATTCTCCTTGTCTCTTATCCCAATCTCCTATGAAACCGCACTTCAAACGGTGACCATTTGTAAGGCCTAGAAAAAGAAGAAAAAAAGCAAAAAAAAAAAAAACCCAACAAAAATCAGTGATGACTTAGTGAACATACAAGTCAATTTTCAACTAACAAAAGAAGATGGTTTTTAATGCTTCATCATCCAATAATGTCCCATGATCAAAGAAGCCTTCAAGAACAAACCCTCTTCCTTCTCCTCCATCTCCTTCTTCTCTTAAATTTTTTTCATTTTCCATCATCCATGGCAATTGAAATAACTATAAAATATATATATATATGATCAGTAATTTATATTGAAATTTTAGAGGTAGCTAGCAAGCTTTGTAGCTACTCTTACAGCTAGCTAGAATTAGAAGTCATGAGAGTGATGAAACATGGTTGTTGGGTTCATGGCTTCCCTGTGGCTGCTATCATCATCACCACCGTCCAACCTAGAACTCATTTGAGTCGCACCAAGGTTGAGATACACCAACCTGTTATTATGGTCTTCGTTCATGGGAGGGTATATAGCTGTTGTTGTAGAAGAAGGAGTGTTGTTGTTGTTGTTTGCATTTCCTTCTTCTCTTGAAAGCACGAGTGCCGCAGATTGAACAAGCTCCAAGCACAACCTAAGCTTGTTTGGTTCGATGTGAGTTAATCCAGGGACAGCACCTTTGAAGAGGAAATCAGAGGTTAGGGTTCTTAGTATGTCCAATGGTGTCACACCATCTATGGTTCGTACATTCGGGTCGGCATGGTGGTCGAGCAGCACCGCCACCATGTCCGGCGACACCATTTCCGCCGCTATGTGTAGCGGCGTTTTACCGGCGGGTCCGGCTGGGTAGTTAACATCAGCTGCACCGAGTTCAAGCAAGGCTTTTACAACTTCTCTGCTGCAATTCTCAACGGCATAGGGTAAGGCTAATGCTTCATCGAGGTTTAGTCCTTCACCCATTACCATGAGCTTCACTAGTTCCACATCGGATGAGTCTAAGGCCCTCCTCATTCGCCGGATTTTCTGGTCCTCGAGGTCGCCGAGATCAACATGGTGGTGAGGGTGATGTTGATGTTGATGATGGTGGTGTTGTTGATGATGGTGGTGGTGAGCGTGGTGTGGCATTAAGGAACGGCGTGAGAATGAGGATTTGAGACGAAGCTCTTCAATCTTAGCGACAATGTCAATGGGAAGGTGCTTGGCTAGAACCTCAGGGGGTAGACCAGACTTGGCTACAAGGTGGGAACAAGTGGTCCATAGTTGTTGCATGTCTTGCTTTCTTGATGCTACTAGCACTTTCATTACATCTTCAATTGAGGCTTTCTCTACCATGCTCGCTAGTTGTTTCTGTGAATGAACCCCACAAATAGAGTAAGCAACTAAAGAAGTAAAATTGTGAGTGAGAGAAAGAGAAAGAGAATTTGTGCATTGGAAAGTTGGAGAAACGTTTAATGACACTTCCATGTAAGGCAAGTCTGAGAATTGGTTAAAAAAAGAAAGAAAGAAAGAAAAAAAAATAAAAGTAAATCTGATGGGATGTTTGCCAAATAAAAGAGGATTAAAGGAACCTTTTCTTTTGCGGTAGTTTGTTATCTTTTGGAGTCCAAACACAAATGAGGAAAGTGAATGGTTTAGGAAAGATTTCGTGAGCTTACTGTGTGGAAGACAAGATGGATATTATGATCTAAATTTAGAAAACTCCTGAATGTGCATTATAGTGGGTGGAGGAACGCCAATTCGAGAAACTTCCTCTACACTAATTTAAGGCACATGAAATCAAGGACGTCAAACATTAACATAAATGCATAGCTTTTAATTTAGCCACAAGAAATCGATATCCTCATGCCCAGAGTGAAAAAATATAATAAAAAATCCCAAAAGAATTAAGAAGAGCTATTAACAACAAACACACCAGCTAGAAAGTAACAAGAGTAATATTGTTTATCTCTATCTGTCTTTGGGGGTTAAGAATTGAAGCAACAAGTGAAGAGGAGAAGGTGTTTCAACAGCAAAAATTAATAAGAGAGAGAGAAAAAAAAATGAAAATGAAGCATTTAGTAACTGACAAGGGAAAGCATAAGTTCAGAAGTGCCACGAGATCATAGAATAGAATAGAACAAACTGGTCTTATAACTCTGGATGGGATAGATAGATTAAAACACAAATTTGGAACCCAAAATCTCACCCCACTTCATAAGAAAAAAAAAAAAGACTCTAAATTTTGAATTAAAAAAAAGAAAAGAAAAGTAAAATATAGAGGAGAAAAACACCCCTTCCCACTTCCCAAAAACCAGACCCCCTTGCAGTAATTGTCCAAATTCCCAAGACCCACAAAACATAAGACTGGTCGCACTAATCACAAACACTCAGAAAAGTGAAGAAAGAGAGAGTGAAGATAATAGAGAGACTCTGGAAAAACAAGAAGAAGAGAAAAAAAAAAAACAGTGGGCGAGGTGAATACTGATAGTGTGATTTTGATGGTAAACAAAAGAAAGGAAAAGAAACAAAACCTGAGTGAGCAATGCGAGCTGTTCAACAGCAAAATATCTAGCGGCAGCGAGGGTATCAAGGGCAAGATCAACGGCTGAGGTGCAATGCGTGTGCCAGCAACCTCGTTCACCACAATTAGGCCTTGGTTCGTGCTTCTGAGGAACAATAGAGACTTGACCACTGTAGAGAAACTGCAGCATCAACAAGAACACCTCATAGCCCACCGAGTTCACTTGTATAACCCCTGACCTGTTGTTGTTGTTGTTGTTGTTGTTGACCCGAGGCCCAGCTGGGTCGAGCCCTGATGGCGGCGGGTCAGGCCCGCAGAAGAATTTCCTAAAGAAGAGGCTTCGGGCCGCCAGGATGCACCTGTGCGCGTGGACCAACCTACCCTCCACGCTGAAAGTGACGTCGCTGAAGGCTTGACCGTTGATGAGTAGGTTCAGGTAATCCAGGGATAGAGATCTTAGAGACTCTTCCATGGACATGGTGCTGTTGCTGTTGCTGTCTCGTCAACACTTTAGGGTTGGTGGTTACAACTTATTGCTATGACAATAAACTGAGAGAGAGTGGAGAGGGAGAGGGAGAGAAAAAGAGAGAGAGAGAGAGAGAGATTGTTAGTGGGAGAAATGAAATAGTGAGAGAAGGAAGATGGTTGGGTTCATCTGTTTTTGATGTTTTGTGTTGTTCTTGATGATGATGATGGTACTGTTGTTGTTTTTATGGGATTCTCTCTGAGTGAATGGTGAATGGTTGTGTGTGTTTTGATGGATATTTTTTAGAGAGAGAAAGAGAAGAGAGTGAGAAAGTAAGATTGCAATTTGGGTGGCTATTCTGGGCGGCTGGGGGTTTAAAAAAGGTTTTAAATATTAAATAAACTATTTTTTTTTTTCCTCTCTCCTTTTTTTCTTACAGGTCTCGTACAAGTACGAGTCTTCTCATGTAATGTTAGTATATATTAAGACATTAAATTAGGTTTTGTAAATTTTAATGGAAAAATCATTTATTATCTCAAAAGATATAATTTTATATTATTTTAAATAAAATTATTATATTTTGGTGAGTTTTTATCTGTATTATTTTCTCTCTTTTTCTCCTCCTAATTTTTTTTTTTGGAAAAGAGAAAAGGTAAACATGTATATCCACAAAATACAATAGTTTCACTTAAAATAATATAAAGTTGGGTCCTTTAAAATTAAAATATTTTCCAACATTAAATAGTAAAATTCCTATTAAAATTGAAAAAATTATTTTATATTTTTTTTTTGGTAAATACAATTTTATATTATTTTAAAGGAAAAAGTATTTGTCATTTTAAATGACATAAAGTTATGTCATTTTAAGAGAGAGATAGACACAAAATAATATATTTTATTTAAAATTTAAATAGAAAAAAACTACCTACTTTCTCCTCCATGATTTACATTCCTTGTGTCTATCTCTCTCCTAAAATGACATAACTTATGTCATTTAAAATGACATAACTTATGTCATTTAAAATGACAAACATGTTATCAAAAAAAAAAAAAAAATGACAAACATCAAACCCAATTTTAAAATAACAAACATTTTTCCCAATAATATTTTTGTTTTCGTTTTCTTTTAACATCTTGTCATTTAAAAAGGATTCATTTTCTTATATGCACGCAGAGTAGAGTAGAAGCATACACTAGAAGGAATATTGAAAAATGAAAATGATATGCGGATAAAGAAAGAAGAGTTTAGACTTTGGTTATATGCTTAATGATATAAGCAATTAAAGTTTCCATAAATGGACAAATTTACATAATATAATAGAAGTCTCTGGGGCCTAATGTGTTGTTGACTGCTACCCTCTAGTATGTGGTCTCGGCATTTTTTGATTCATATTTGTTTCCCTTATTATGTATTAATGAGTTTTCTAATCGTTTTTGCATTTACTTTAGTTAAACAAGTGGTTAGCAGTGGCTTTTCACATAATGGGTGCATATTAATAATTACTTTCAACCACAGAAGTCGCACTTTCAATCAACGTGCTTCAATTATTTCCATATAAGTACAATTTCATACAAGTTAACTTGAAAGTTTGATGAACCTTCATTCATGAAAACCTTGCCATCAGGTTTTTATGAGCTTTTTATTTTCACTGTGAATATTTTCATAGGATTTTACATGAATTATATAATATTCATAAATGATATATAATGTATTATAAGATTTACATTTTCTTTTTAAAATTAATATCATTATTATTCTGTTTGTTCGCAACTTTTGGTTGTTGATGTTTAAAATAAAAATAAAAATCTGATGTATCAATAAAAGTGGATGCAATAATAAAAAGAATTATATTGAATTCAATTAAAAAAAATTGAAATTAAGTTATATTATTTTGATTCTTGAGCCACGAATTAATTGAAATTTATCATATATATATATATATAGGGGAGGGATCTTTTGACTCTAGAGTAAGACTTATAACTCTTACTCTCTATCTCAACCGTTGATTTCCGTCCATCTAACAGTTATTATTTATTTGAAATAATTAATTAATTAATTGTTATAGATAACCGTTGGATGGACGGAAATCAACGGTTGAGATGAGGAGTAAAAATTGTAAGTCTTACTTTAGAGTCAAAAGATCCCTCCCTATATATATATATATATATATATATATATATATATATATATATATATATAAAAAAATATATAAAAAAAGGGATCTTTTGACTCTAGGGTAAGACTTATAACTCTTACTCTCTATCTCAACCGTTGATTTCCGTCCATCTAACAGTTATTATTTATTTGAAATAATTAATTAATTAATTGTTATAGATAACCGTTGGATGGACGGAAATCAACGGTTGAGATAGAGAGTAAGAGTTATAAGTCTTACTCTAGAGTCAAAAGATCCCTCACCATATTGGGGAGGGATCTTTTGACTCTAAAGTAAGACTTACAATTTTTACTCCTCATCTCAACCGTTGATTTCCGTCCATCCAACGGTTATCTATAACAATTAATTAATTATATATATATATATATATATATATATATATATATATATATATATATATATATATATATATATATAGTATCATGTCTAGTATATATAAATAATTGAAACATACACGCATGTCTATCACAGCTTATCATTAGCTCAAATAAACAAATGTCATCTATGCTTAGCCTCTATTATTAGTTAAAAAAACAAAATTGATCTACGAGACTACTAATTAAAATATATAAATAAATCTGTGTTCCACATGTTCACACAGAAAAAGAAAAAAAGGAAATTCATTTTAACCACAAAAAATTTGATTTGCAACAAATTTAAAGTTTTTTGTTTTTATTTTTTTTAAATTCCGCAATGAATTTAGACTACAGTTAGGCGATTAGAGTAATCGTTTTTTGTTTCTTTTACTTTACGTGTACAAGGGAGCATTAGAAAAGGCTACCTTAAATATAGCATTTTTTTCTGAATAATATATATATTTTACACATGTTGGGAAGGCAGTTTGTCACAAACCGACTTTCTAGCATTTTTTCTGAATAATAAATATAAAGCTAATTGTTTGAATTTAAGAAAATATTATTTGTAAACCGTAAATTATATTTCAAATATATTACTTAAGTTCGTTTTTTCTGCAGTTACTGCAGATAGGTTATCTGCAATAAGCCTAATACGACGTCGTTTTGGTGCGAAAATCATAGTGTTTTTGTAATTTTAATTTATTTCGGGATTATTATAGTCTTTATAATTATAAATATTAAAATTAATATTTCAATCCCAAAATGAAGTCGTTTTGAGAGTAAATACAGATTACTTATTTGTAATAACTGCAGAAATATTTTTCTGTATTACTTATCATGAAACATTGAACCCGGTTAGAAAATTTTCACATACAACATAAGTGCTTATTTGGGAGCTCATATTTTTAGCTTATTTCACCTTATAAGTAGAAGTTTATCCAAACATAATTTTTCAAAACCTCTTATCATAAAAAGATTTTTTTATAATGAAGAAAAAAAATAAAAAGTTAAAAAATTCTTGGAGGAATTTTTTTGTTAAGATGTATATCAACTTTTTGAAGTTCTCGTGTTTATTTTTCAATTTTATCATTGTTCTAAAATTTTACTTATAAACTTTATCTTTTACCCTAATAATTTATCCTAATAACAAGTATGACTAAGAATTCAATTCTTGTCATTCAAGTCATTTAAGGACCAAAATACAATTATGAAATTTTTTCCTCAAAGTAATTACGATGTCATAATAATTAAGTTACACTAAATTAGAAAGGAATGTCTAATTAAAGGGTTAATCGAACGAAAATCCTAAGTTTACGGTTAAAATCTTCACAGGGTAAAATGATAATTAAACAGAAACTGCCAGGATTTCGACCAACTATGTGAAATACACTTCACCTAAGCTTTTAAAATTAGGGAATCATATTGGAAAGAGGAAAATTAGATGAAAATATAAATATGCACATAAAGTTACATTTTGGGACAAAAGTGCAATTAGTGAAGTTATCGTGTAAAATGCAACTATGCAGAAGTTACCCAAAACTTTTGAATACTGTAGTGACATACCATTAAATAATTTTGGTGAATGTCAAAATAAATATTTGATGGTTTAAATCATGGATTAGTCGAGGAGTAATGTGGTTTATTAAGGGTAAATTGGTCATTTCTCTCACAAGTCACTTAGGTGACATGCCACATCATTTCCCCCCTCATTTATCTTCTTCATTTGTGCAAGAACAACCCCATCATTTCTGCAAACCGAAACAGTAGCCCTCTATACCATTATTGATGAATTCAAGCTCACAACTCCTTGTATAAGCCTCCAATGGAAAAAGTCCATTAGACAAAAGTTGTTCCTTTTTGTAAGAACCTGCACCGTTAAATTAAAAATTTAAATAAGTAATTATGAGTTTGGGAAATAATTCCATAATTAACCTTGAATAATTATGATAAGACTTAAATAATTATTATAAGGGCTTAATAAGGCTGAAAGTCGCTTTTCTGACGAAAAGTGCAGATACCGGTTTTGCTTCACGGTAAAATGCGTACCGATGAAGTATCCCGAAAAATTATAATAAGCTCATGAATATTCCTAGAAAAATACTCAAGTTGAGTAAACCAAGTTTGAAGTCATAATTATAAGTATTGATGTCAGAACTAATATCGGCGACGTGTAAAATGCGTACCGGCAAAATGTTGCGAAAACTTATAATAAAAATATGATAAATGCTAGAAAAATGGCTAGGTTCAGAATATGAAGTTTGAGATTAAATTGATTACCGGAGCTATTAGTGCTAATACCGACGGGTTAAACTTAAGTGAATTATAAATACAAAAGGGCACACTTTTCAAGGTCAGATTTTCCGCCTTCCTACGTGAGTTTCTGATTCTCCTTGGCTTCCACCTTCTTCTTCATAGGAAAGTTGGAGCTTTTCTCCATTTTCAAGCCCAAGACTCCACCCTTTACTCTTGAAAACCCTCCTCCATCATTGTGTAGACTTGTAGCAAGCATTAGGGGTGTGGGGAGACTGTTCTTGGGAGCTTGAGCTTTTATTTTATGAGTGTTTGGGGACTGCCTCCTTGGTTGTGGGAGTGTGAGTGTGTTCCACCTCCATTGAAGCTTCAAGAACCAAGTTTTGGAAGGAAAGAACCTACCTTGGTATGGATATTTTCGTGCACCACTAAGTCAGTGGTTTGGAGCACTCCACTGGTCATCAAAGTCTCCTCATTTTTCTGAGTTC